GAATTAGGTTTAAATCACCGTCATGCATGAATGAATTATATTTTTACAATTTTACACTTAATAATCCACGATGATCACATTGCACAAAACTGAAATTGCACGTCAAAATAACACAGTCAATATTTTTTGAGACCCCCCAAAATTTCACAAATCCTGTTTTCAGGGGAGCCCAGGTATTATTAAGGGGAGCCGAGCTCCCCCTAGCTCCCCTGTAGTTCGCATCCTGGTTGCATGCGCACGCAGAGGGCCAGTGAGGTCGGCTTCATTAACAAATGACTCTTATGAACCAGATCGTTTGAGTCAAAACCACAAAGCGCGGAACAGTTCACTAACTAATTGTTTTTACATTTGTTCGTGTATCAGATAATTACTGCTTTACAGGTAACTCAGAAGTCCTCTGAGAAATCTAAGATCTAATATGTCTGAGATTCATCGCATAATTGTTTGGTGATCCGATTCTCCGACCGCTCGCTCCACTTTCATCATGAATATAAGCCGTAACAATAACATGAAATCAATAAGAAGACGCCGGTCATGGAAACTAATAGCAGAGTTAGGTAAGAATCTAGTCGTATTGCAGTTTTCTCGATTGTTAATATAACTGATTTTATTTCATTCCATTAATTCAGTTTTATAAACAAAGACACATTTCTCAAAAAGTTTAACAATGAGTAAGTTAAACATTAGGTAGCAAAACTGATGGCACACCAATCAGAATCTCTGCATGCTAACAACGGAGAGAGGAGAGAGCTGAGCCAATCATCTACAGGGGTTTTATACTTACACATACAGTATAATTACAGTACAGTACCAGTACATTAGATAATGGAAATTTAACAATTCTATATGTACAGTAAACTGCAGCACATGTTGTACCCCTTCAAGCGTGTGACTGTCAAATTTGAATTGTAGTCATTTTTTTATGTGTACTGCATTTTTGCAGAACTGAGAAATGACTGCCTATAGATATAGCTAGTCTTGTGTCTGGAGACCAAGAAACTGCTATAGTACTGTATACTGTAATGAAATTTGGCAGAATGTGCTGAGAAAGTTCATTGCTGAATTATACATCTGTATCTGTAATTTAATTTATGTATACTGAGTTTTTTGTTACAGTGTTATTGATCTCAGTGTTCACTGGGCAGGAAAGTAATCTGTGTATTTGAATTGTGTGTAAGCATTTACAGTCTTTTTCAACTGCTTACACAAAATCTTTACTTGTCACACAATTTCTGAAAGCTGACACTCAAACAGCAGAAGCACTCACCAAATCTGCAAAACCATACACTAATACTCAGCCTTCGACTCAGTTTTCAATTTCATAAAACACTTTTTGCAAAACACAACACACAATTCTTTATGTAACACAAAAATCTAACAGGAATTAATATTATGGCAAAGGTGTTTGCAAATACACACAAATGTTTGTGTAGAGTAATTTTTGATTATTAGTATAGTTACACTGGATCATCGAAGGCCAGAAGCAAAGACATTGGTTAATAGAATGGGATTGAATACATAAAGCATATTTGTGTTGTTTAACATTTAATTATTGCAGGTTTGCGTCATATTCTGAGTTGCATTTTTTAAATTCATTTTGAGGAATACTGAATCTGTGTTTTTTGTTAGTGAGATGAATTAATGCATATTCATATTTATTTTAGATCTACAGTAACATCTGATTTCTCTCAACATGGGGACAGGAGAGCTGTCAATCAATAAATTAGAAAAAAAAAGTAACTTGCGTTACTTATTTGAAAAAGTAACTCAGATATTCTCTTGTAAATTAAAAAGTAATGCGTTACTTTACTAGTTACTTGGAAAAAAGTAATCTGATTACGTAACTCGCGTTACTTGTAACGCATTACCCCCAACACTGGGCATAACACACACAGTTTCGCCCAATCTCATGTTAATCTAGAGTACCTATAGAGTAGTACTGCATCCTTCATATCTCCAAAAAGTCTTTAGTTTTATCATATTTATAAAAGAAAGATACAGCTTTACGATTCTCTCCGGAAACAGCCGAGCTCCTCGAGGCACGCCGTGGGCGGAGCTAAAGAGTGACGAGCACTTGGACGCCGAATGCCAACAAAACAGACATTTGATGTCGTTTCACTAACCGTCTGCAGTTCTGAATCATGACTGGGAACTTTTATAACTGGGACCGCTCCATCTTTCAGTATCAAACGATGAAACTGATCCAGTTTCAGTGCTTTGATATTATTGTATTTCTTTCTAATGTCAGGAAATTCAAACGTTTTTGTTGCTTTTAAACTTGCACTAAACGTGATTATACCTATAGTAGTAGACTATGTAATTTTAATAGAACCGCATGTCTTCTTTAGTGATAAAAGCTCAGAAACTTTTATACCCTGTTGAAGTTTTTTATATTGTGTATTGACTTGGTGCCATGATGGATATTGAAATGTTATTTATTTTTCATTTTAAACAGTATAGATGATTACTTAATGGTAATACAATATTTGTGAACACAACTGTACACACGTATGTCAGACCATAAATCCCCAAAAGCTATGCATGGGGGCTTGCTTTGGTGTTGCCGCCCCTCATAGACCCCATGCCACCCCTTTGCCACCCTAAAAATTATTTTCTAGATCCGCCACTGACTTTGCTCAAATGTACAGCTTCAAAGTCAAAGTCAGTCTCATTGATGAGTGTCGAATGCATAAATGTGCCTCTCTGGACAATGTGTTGTGTTGCAATAGGTTATAATAAATAAATGTCTTAATAGTGAGTGTGTGTAGTGTACTGGACAATGTGTAACATTATGTACATGGTAGAAAGATCTTAACTAATCTCAGACATTTCTTTCAGCTCATTAATGCACTGACAACATCTAAACATCTGTAAACAAAAATGAAAAAAATCTAATGTACATTTAGTAACTGAAAAATCATCACATTCTGTGTAAAGAAGCTGTGATGCAAACGTTGTATTTTGTGTTGTTGCTTATGTTCGTGTGTGATTTCACCAAAAAAGAGGACTGCAAAAGTGTTTATTTCCCCATTGTTCTCATAACCTGGCTGCTTAGTCGCTTGATGATACTGTCTAATACTGTTTTCACTCAGAATGTTTTTGCATACAAGATGGCAAACGTACGGTGGCCGAGAAGTGCAGAACAAATCACAATTCTGAAAACAAAAGAACAAATTACAAACGCAAATGCAAGTCTAAAAAACAAAATAACAATTCAGAAAACACAACAACAATTCAGAAAACATTATAACAAGTCAGAAAACACAATGATTTGCGTTTGTAATTTGTTATTTTGTTTTCAGAATTGTGTTT